TCTATTTGTGTTGATTCCTGCTTTGATTTCCCTTTTTCTCTCTATCCCCCTGTCACCTCCTCTTTTTTTATGTTTATATGTGTATTTTTTCCCAAAAAAATACTCTTCTATTTGTGTTGATTCCTGCTTTGATTTCCCTTTTTCTCTCTATCCCCCTGTCACCTCCTCTTTTTTTATGTTTATATGTGTATTTTTTCCCAAAAAAATACTCTTCTATTTGTGTTGATTCCTGCTTTGATTTCCCTTTTTCTCTCTATCCCCCTGTCACCCTCTCTGTTTATTGTGACCCTTCATTTCTCTGCATGGTGCAACCTTCCTGTTTCTTGCATGGTTATCAGGTTTTCTTGCCTCCAGACGTATCTTTTGAGTGGGATCCCTTGGGATTATTTATACATGTATAGACCTTTGAGCAGCAGTTTCTTTAATTTGGTCTCTTTAATCACTCTTTCTGTGTTGTCTCTTTGAAATTTTCCTAGCAGCAGCCTGATAATCTTGTTCAAATTGAAAGAAAAAAAAAAAAAAAGAGAAAATTACCTTTTTTGAAAGAGCGGACTGTGGAAGCCTCACTTTGAGCGGTGTCTGAACAAACTGATTATTTTCAGTTTGGCAGATTTTTACATGAGGAAATTGTGAAGTGACTGGCAAATGTTAATGGACAGAAAAGCAGATTTATTCTGTGGGCAGAGGGGCCTCGGGACAGGCTGTGTCTCCGAGCTGAGCCAGGTACCAGCTCAGCATCTGCCTGCCCTGCTGGGTTTAAAACACATTTTCTGCTCTGGTTTTCCCTGGGCTGCTGGGGAAGGGACCTTTCCCTGCTGTATCCACTCATTTGAGGATATTTATGGGGAGAAACCCCCATTTGGAATCAAGAAAACCAACCAAAATTCTCCTGTTTAGCCCCTTTGATGGTGGGAAAACCCCCCAGTTTATCTCCTGGTACACTGCAGGGTGTTTGATGTGAAATGGAAAATCCACAATGAGTTGGTTAAAAGCCTTGCAGTAATCAAGGAAGAAGAATTATTAATTCTCTGAAGGGGTCTGTCATGACCTACTTTACAGCTGCACTGAGGCTCCTGCTGCTCTGGTACCAGAATATGACAAATCTTAAAGCACCCCACACATGGAAAAGCCAGAAGTGTAATGGTTAAAATGCTGGGCATCTGTAAAAAATATTTTCCCATCACGGTGGGAATTTGTAAAAGTGCAAATGCCACGAGTAAAACTCTCATTGAGCTGCAGAGTTGTGCTACATCCCTGCTCCCCTCCTGGAATCACTCCACTGGTGAGTCAAAAAATATGGGAATATTTAATGTTTATTCCCCACCTAGGCATATTTAATTGTTACTTCTAAAAAGATGCAGAGATACTGTTCCAGAGCTGTTCCAGCATCAGCAGATTTGGGCTCCAGCTGTCATCCTCTGACATAATTTGAGGCAGCAAATTAGATAAAAATCTCTTATCTTGGTGTGTTACACATTCCCCCTGCCGTGGTTTGAGCCCTTGCTGGCTGTTTTTGGGGAAAGCACCTCAGCAACTCCAGGGAATGTTGGTTTTGAAGCCATCCCATCTTTCTGTCGGGCTTTGGGAGGACCTTGCTGGGGCTGGAGATGCAGGGCAGAAAATGTTGACGGCATTCCTGAGCTCTCCTCTTTATTATCCCCCCCCAAATATTTGGAAGCTGAAGTCGTTAATGTTGGGTGGAATGCGGAACCCGGCGAGCCCCGCAGTAGATCCCAAAAACATCTTGATTAAATTAGAGGGGAGGTGGAGGGGAGGAGGGCTGGAACAAAGAGGCTGTTGAGGAGCTGGCACAGCCCGTGCTGGGAATTTATGTTCCAGCCAGGGGTGGCAGAACCTCCAGCCCTGCACATGGTGCAGATACACCCTGGAGTAACAAAGGAGTGTGTGTGTGCTCACAGCAGCCTCCTGGGCTGGGGAAAACCTGCATCCACAGCCTGGCATTCCTGCCACATCCTGCTGGGACTTCCCTGGCTGCTGCTGCTGCTGCTTTCCTGGATGGCAGAGGAAGGGAAGGGGTGTTCAGCACCTCCGTGGATGGCAGAGGAAGGGAAGGGGTGTTCAGCACCTCTGGTTTGCAGAGGATGGGAAGGGGTGTTCAGCACCTCTGTGGATGGCAGAGGAAGGGAAGGGGTGTTCAGCACCTCTGTGGATGGCAGAGGATGGGAAGGGGTGTTCAGCACCTCCCTGGATGGCAGAGGATGGGAAGCCTTCCTCCTCCTCCTCCTCTTCCTTGTCCAGAGGAGGCAACAAAGCTGGTGATGGATTTAGAACACGAGCCCTGTGAGGAACGGCTGTGGGAGCTGGGGATGTTCAGCCTGAAGAAAAAGAGACTCAGAGGTGACCTTATCACCCTCTACAGCTCCCTGAAAGGTGGCTGTGGGCAGGTGGGGTTGGTTTCCTTCTCCAGGCAGCACTGACAGAGCAGAGCACACAGCCTTGAGCTGCACCAAGGGAAATACAGGTTGGATATTAGGAAAAGGTTTTTTACAGAAAGGGTGATGAAGTTCTGGAATGGTCTGCCCGGGGAGGTGGTGTTGTCACCACCCCTGGATGTGTTTAAAAAATAAAAAGGTTGGATGTGGCACTGGGTGCCGTGGTTTAGTTGAGGTGTTGGGTTGGACTCGATGGTCCCCAAAGGTCTCTTCCCACCTGGTGGGAGCTCTGTTGTGACCTCTCAGGGCCCAGCACAGGTGAGGAGCTGCACCCTGAGCTGTGCAGGGAGCTCCTGCTGTGCCCCAGAGATGCTCCTCCGAGCAGATCATCTCCCACATCTACAGGAGAAAGGTTTAACCTGATCAGATCAGGGCACACAGTTTGTGGGGACACCTCCACCCCACACACCCAGCTCATTAGTGCAGCCAATTAATTAAGATTTAGTTGCACAAGCCCTTCCTCACGTTAAGGGAGGTGCAGGTAGATGTGGTTGCAGGTACAGCCAGGAGGAGATCCCAGTAAAGTTGATCAGGATATCTTTCATTTATTGCCTTGTTTACAAAATGAATCGTTCTGCCTTTGCAAAACACAGAGTAATAGAGAAAATACAGAACAATGCCGAATTTGCTGCTGCAATAGCAATTGATATGGAGACATTGACAGCTGCCAGGACTGTTGTTGTCTTTCCTTGGCATGGATTTTATTCGTCATTCCGTGGCACTTTCTGGCACCATGCTGGAATCTCTCGTGCCTGTATGGCAGTGGGATCAGCAGCCTTTAATCTGCACTTGGAATTCTGTGGGAATTCAGGGGAATTCTCCTTGGGCATCACCTCCACCTCCCTCCACTGCACTCCAGCAATAACTTTTTCCTAACGTCCGATCCATTTTCCTCTGACTTTCCCCAGCAAACCCTTCAGCTTCCTCCAATGTATTTTCATTTATCAGGGTCAGCCAGCTCAGCTTTTTTTTCTCTTAGACATTTTTTTTTAGGGTGGAATCAGTGCAGGGAACAGTTTTACATTAACAGTGCTCATTGCACAGCTCTTGTTCTGATGTCCCCTGTGATCTGTCTTACCTTCATCTTAATGGAAGGAGTTTTTTTCCAGTCCAGCAATCCAGCAGCTCCTTTCTCAAGAGCTCATTTGGAAGCACAGAGAGTTTCGTGTTTTGACAATTTGGCATCTTCTTTTACCCCTTTCAACCCGAAATCTGCATTAAAATACTCATTTTAATCTCTGCAGTATAATTGATGCTTCAGCAGTCTGTGCGGAAAACGAGCAATTTTTTAGTGCAAGAAACGAGCAAAAAGGGGTGAGAGGCAGAGGATGGGGCCAGGAGGTTCCAGCAGCACTGGAAAAGGGAACAGGGAAAAGTTCAGTGACAGAGCCAGGCAGTCACTTCCATTAATCATCAACACGTGGAGGAAAAGGCAGCCAGAAAACCCCGGATCACTGCAGGGCGAGCAGCAGCCCCGGCTGCCAGAAGTGGAAATCCCGTAGGTTTGTTCCTCCAAACTCCCTTGGAGGTTGGGAATCAGCAGCTCTGTGCTTTTCTCTAAATTAGAGGCTCCTTTCCTTTGTCAGCGTTTGTGTTGGGTGCTCTTTGTTCCTCGGGCAGCTGGGTGAGGAATATGGGATTGGAACATGTGGAGAATCCAAAGGATTTGGCATTGGATACTTGTGAATCCCACTGTGCTGCCAACAGAGCAATTCCAGGCTGGTCTGAGCCACAACACCCCAAAATAATACAAAAATGTGCTCTAATAAAGCAATTTTTTCATCTAATAAAGCAATTTTTTCATCTCAGAAGCACACTCCAAGCGCTGCTGAACTGGACACTATGGGGAAAAGAATAATTTAAATTCAAATCAGATAATCTTTCTCTTCTGGCTTTTCAATTTATCAGTGTGTTATTGGGTTTTTTCCTCATGGCTTAGCACTATCTTGACTTCCTGGGCAGAAATGTTGGTTTAAGCGTGGGTTTGGCTGCATTGCCTCTTTATCTGTTTCTTTTCCTGAATGTTGTAGGCATAAATAATCTTGAATTTATCAAATTTGCTTGCCCCAGTTGATATTAAACACTGGTAACATGAGGGTTGGAACACACAAGTGCTGCCTTAGCGGGCAGTGAATGAGTAAAATCTATAAACTGAATTAAGTTATTGTTATTGTGGTGATTTCCTTACCCTGCTTTTCTTCAGCTTCCACACCAAACCTGTCCTGTACCCTCAGTCTTGCTTCATCCTATTCAAATGGGAAAAATTCTATGTTTTCAGGCCGGAGAATTGAAAAATTTCACATTTTCTGGAAATTTCCATCTGTCTTCCATAGAGCTTTTCTGGCTGTGCCCATCTGGGATTTCAGTTTATTTATACTCCTGGTACAACGTGACCCTGAGTGCCTCTGGGCTGGGCACTGATTGGATTTGCCAGCACAAACGGTGGTGCTTAATTAAGCCTGAATTATTTGTGGATGCCCCGTGCTCGCTTCCTCTGCCTCTGCAGCATCTTCCTCAATTAACTTTCATTTCTCTGTTCTGTTGCAGAGCAAGGAAGTGGGACTGCAGCTCCAGGAGGACTTGATGAAGGTCTTGAATGAACTCTACACGGTAAATCAAACTGATTTCTTGGCATCTCCTCAGGCAGAAGGGAGAAGTGTTTGACTTCTCCCACCAAGGCTGAGAAAAGGCTGCACTCCCTGCTATAAAGCTCCATAAATCCCATTTTTCCCCCTCTGTCCTGCTGTTGTTTCAGCTCTCTAAGTGTTGGCTCACCTCCCTGCCCATTTGTTACTTTGCTGCTTTAAAAAAAGAAGCCAGAGACAGGAGAATTATCCCCAAACACACCCAAAATCTCGGGGTTTGTGTGGTGTGAGCCTTCAGAGGCACCCTCTGAGCTTATTTGTCCCTCAGCCCTGAGCAGAACAGCTCCTTTTGCAGGAAGAGTTTCCCATCTCTGCTTTTTGCCTCTCAGTAAATCCACTGGAGGCACCGAGGAAGAGGAAGGAAGTTTCCCCAAGGGTTCACGTGCCTGGGGATTTTCTTCTCCTCACACACATGAATGGAGAAGCCTCTTGCTTGATGAAAATTTTGCTTCCTGCAGCTGATACTGAGCGAGTTCTCTTCTTTAAAAGCAGAACTCACTGTCCAGTGGCTCAAAATCCCTTTTATTTTTGTCCTTCCTGAGTGGTTTGTTGGGTCATGACACTGAGATTTACGGTCTGGCCTTCCTCCTTCCAGAAGGTGACCCAGGGTTTGTTCTCAGGCTGTGAACATATTGACCCTGTGGTGAAATTCGGGGTAAAAACCAGTTTTGCAGAGTTTCAGGGGGGTTCCCTGAAATTTCCTGTGTTAATAAATATATAGAGGGAATAGTTTCATTAGCATTTGTCACAATTAATGCCTCAAAGCCAAATATTCAGGCAAATCAGCTCTGCAGAAATGGTTTTCTGTTTGAGGGCGTAATCAGGTCAACTTTTGAGTGCTGTCATGGATGGGATCCTAAGGAAAGACATGGATCTGTCTCTGAATTTAGGAACTGAGGTAAATTTCTGATCCAAGTTCAGCTGGCTCTGGAGTTTCATGGACAGGGGATCATTTCTGGGTGCCAGGCTCATTTTTTTTCAGCCAAATAATGAATTCTGCTAATATCTGTTCCCTTGGAAGGAAGAACTTCCAGAATTCAGCCTTTGCTAAACAAAGTGATGGAAGGTATTGATATTTTTAATATCTGGGAATTTGAAATCTATTTATTCATTCCATCTGCTGCAGAACTGTAAATTGTCCCTTCACCAGAAAACCTTTTCCTTTGCAAAAAGCCACTCCTGATGGTGCTAAAAGATGCTTTTTGCTGGAATTAAAGCCACCCCACCAGTGATTAAATTTAGGGGTACTTTTAGAAGCAATTCCACCTCTTTTTCTGGGCTGGGTGATCAACCAAAGCTGGTCTTTCCCAACCTCAGTGATTTCCCTAATTCCACATCCAAAGGATTGGCAGTATCCCTGCTTTTAGGTAAAATGGATCTGAGTGAAATCTTTACTTTCTCTACACAAATACAAATTTAAAAATACAAATACAAATTTACAAATAAAACACAGAGGTTTGTCCCAGCCTGTAATTTTTGCCCTCTGCAGACCCCAGTGAGTCACCAGTGTCCCCACACCAGAGCCTGTGGCTGCCAACGTGGCACAAAACCATCACAAACCCATTCAAACTGGGATTTCTCGCTCTGTTCCTGCTCTCTGCCAGCTCCACTCCGAGCAAGAGAGGAAAAGCAACTCCTCTGCATCTATTACTATAATTATAAATGCCTGCTTTACAGTCTGAGCATCTGCAGGGGCTGGGAGTGCGGCTGTGTGAATTATTCAGGATGTTCTTTAGCACTGGCTGCACTCACATTCCCTTTCACGTTTAAATCCAGAGTCTCTTTGGATCTGGGACCTCTGCTGATCACTGCAGAGCGGGGGCACGCAGCCCACTCGGGTGAAATTGTGTTCTGTTCTGCTGCAAAATAGCTCTAAACGGGTTTTCAGCTGAGATAAATCAAATTATTCACAAGTGGAACCTTTATTGCTGCTGGAATGGGTGACTTTATGCAATTGTGCAATTTTTTTTTTTGCCCCCTGTGAGTGTTGCATCCTGTTTGTTTTGGCGTGGGACTCAAATTGCTTTGCATTTATGGATAAAAAAACTGGTTTATATCTCATGTCCTTCGGTTCTATCTGCTTAACACAAATCTAGACATTAATATGACATGAAACAAATGAGATTTTCCTGACTGTGGGGGGGATATTTAGCTATATTTACCTATAAAAATGTGCTTTAATAGAAGTTGTCCACACCACACAGGGTCTGGGTCTCCCTACATGCAAGAAACACATTTTTTTTATTACATGAAGTGCCCAGAAGTACTTTTATGTCCCAAATTCGATTTGTACAAATGGAGCATGAGTGGCTCTCGCAGCTGAGACTGGATTTCCACCCTGTGGTGTTTGAAGCTCTGACTCACCCAGATGAAAGGCTGATAGGGCTCCCTTCAGAAACCTTACCTGCTGATGAAAAGCTCTCATTTTCCTGCCGTATCATTTCTTTTGAGCAGTCAAGGAGGCTGGATTGAGTCTTTTTTTGTTGTTTTTGTGCCTCCTTTATTGGCTTGTGCAAGAAGGCACACGCCAAAGCCAAACAAAGCAGCAGCTGCAGAATCACCCACTTGGATTTCAGATCTGTTTTGGGAGCCACACTCGCTCAGGCACCTCCTGCCCTGCTCCTCTGACGTGGGAAATTTCCCTGAGTGGTTTTGTGTGGTTTTTTTCCTGCTTCAGGTATTTCAGACCCGACAGCCCTGGGCCCTGAGTGATGTTTTTTGTTGTCTGCAGGTGATGAAAACCTACCACATGTACAACGCTGACAGCATCAGTGCCCAGAGCAAGCTGAAGGAGGCAGAGAAGCAGGAGGAGAAGCAGATTGGGAAGTCGGTGAAGCAGGAGGACAAGCAGACCCCACGCTCCCCTGACTCCACCTCCAACGTCAAGTTTGAGGAGAAGCACGTCCGGAGAAGCTCTGTCAAAAAAATCGAGAAGATGAAGGAGAAGGTACTGGCAAGGGTGCACAGGAGCCAGTGATTCCCTCCTCACAGCCAAACCCCATCCTTTGTGCAGCTTTAATTTGTGCAGCTTTAATTTGTGCAGCTTTAATTTGTGCAGGTTTTATTTGTGCAGGTTGAATTTGTGCAGGTTGAATTTGTGCAGGTTGAATTTGTGCAGGTTTTATTCATGCAGGTTTAATTTGTGCAGGTTTAATTCGTGCAGGTTTCATTTTTGCAGGTTTTTATTCCTGCAGGTTTTTATTCCTGCAGGTTTAATTTGTGCAGGTTTCATTCGTGCAGGTTTCATTTTTGCAGATTTTATTCCTGCAGGTTTAATTTGTGCAGGTTTCATTCGTGCAGGTTTCATTTTTGCAGGTTTTATTCCTGCAGGTTTTATTTCAGCTGAAGGAAAGGCAAACCCAGCAGCAGGGCTCCTTCAGGATGGTCAGGTGCAGTTTGTGTAACCCCAGGCATGGCACAAAAAGCTGAAACCAGGTTAGAGTGGGAGAGCAGCAGATATCTGCTTGGAATTCATGGTTAATGTGATTATTTTTGTTGTCCAGAGCACAAGGCCAGCAATCCCAAACTGGCTCTGGGGGCAGAACCAGTGGGCTCAGCAATTGGTTCCTCCAGCAGTTCAGCTCTAAGGTTCAGACCAAGAGAAGGGGTTATTTTTGAATGGATTTAGGCTCTGGAAGGACAAAGTTCAGGCCTTGGAAGAGATGGAGTACCTGTAGCAACCCTCAGACCCTCATGGGCTTCTCTGGTGGTGCTGGAGCTGGGCCATAACCTCCTAAACCCTCCTTGTCCCTTCATTCCTCCTTTAATCTTCCCCATCCCACAGCCTCAAGACTTTGAATCCAGTTTAGCAATGTTTAAGCCCATCTAAATAATTCATCTGCATTTCAATCCTTGGAGTCCTGGCAGAACTGGAATTCAAATGGGCAAAATCTGTGTGAGCAGAGCACGGTTTGCTCAGTGTTCTCTGGTGTTACTCAGGGTGCTGCTCACCTCTTTTAATGCTCTGTTCTGCTTTTTGTTGCCTTTCAGCGCCAAGCAAAGTACACAGAGAACAGACTGAAGGCAATCAAGGCGAGGAATGAGTATCTGCTGGCCCTGGAAGCCACCAATGCCTCGGTGTTCAAGTACTACATCCACGACCTGTCTGATCTCATTGATGTAAGTGCTGGGGCCGGGAGCCTCCCACGTCCCTCTCCTCCCTCTGCACAGCTGGAAAGCTCTGCACAGCTGGAAACCTCTGCACAGCAGGGCTGGGCAGCTTGGGGGTCTCAGTGGCCTGGCACTGGTCACTAAGCTGTGACAAGAGCTTTTCTCAGGTGGCCACCTCTGTCACACGGACGAGGAACTCTGAGAAAAGGAGGAGCTGCTTAGTTCAAGTGAAACCCAGCTTCAGGTTCACCCTGCTGCCTGAGATTTTCGTTTGACTGTTTTGAGCAAACCCACAAGATTTCAACTCAGCAGCATGTTTGAAAAAAAAGATTGTTAGCTGTAGAAACAGTAGAAGAAATTTGGTAGAAGAGAGGGAGTTCAGAAGCGTTTCCTAAAGCTGCTTTTAACTGGTTTTGGAAAAGCCATTGAATTATGGAATATTCTGAGTTGGAGGGGACCCACAGGGATCATCCAGTCCAGCTCCTGCACAGACACCCCAGAACCCCAGCTGTGCCTGAGGATGCTGTCCAAGCACTCCTGGAGCTCTGGAAGCTTTGGAGCAGTGCCCATTCCCTGGGGAGCCTGCTCAGTGCCCCAGCACCCTCTGGGGAGGAAAACCTTTCCCTGATCTCCATCCCAAACCTCCTTGACACAGCTCCAGCTGCTCCCTCCAATCCTTTCCCTGCCCACCAGAACATATTTCAGTCTCCCCACCATTCTGCAGCAATTCTGCTTTTGGTATAATGCACCACCAAAAAAAAACCACCCCAAATCTGATTTTTGAAATCTCAGCCAGGAGCCCCGAGGTTATTGCCAAGGATGGAAGCACCCCTTCAGCCTGGACACACTGAGTGTGGGATCCTGTTCCATCCCTTCCCCTGGACACACTGAGTGTGGGATCCTGTTCCCAATCCTTCCCCTGGACACACTGAGTGTGGGATCCTGTTCCCAATCCTTCCCCTGGACACACTGAGTGTGGGATCCTGTTCCCAATCCTTCCCCTGGACACACTGAGTGTGGGATCCTGTTCCCAATCCTTCCCCTGGACACACTGAGTGTGGGATCCTGTTCC